CGACGCTCTTCCGATCTCCCCAAAACCCCAAAACCCCTTTATTACTACCCAATGAATTAAGCGTGAGGTTTAATTGAAAATAAATCTTGAAATATAAGATGTCTTATCACTCATAGGTTCCTGGTTTGCAAGTATTGCATTCAGCATCCTAGCAGAATCCAACTGGGCATCTTGGTGATTCTTCTCCAGTCTTGCATATAAATTCATTGTCTTTCATGTTCATAACTAGTTCGTCATTCTTAACACCAGTCATTCTCCATTGCCAGAGAGTGATCTTAACTCTTTAGGGGTTAGAGCATTAAGCTTCAATTTTAACAGTACCTGATTTGCTCAATGTTGAAGATACACTGTGACTGACAGCTGTACCAACAGTAGCACTTACTGAATATTTGTATCCGACGAGATCACTTCCAACTTCAAACCCTTGTGTGAGTGAAGCGTTAATTTCTTGAGAGTTAGTCTTAGTAGTATCTATTCCTGCAGTTTCTTCAACGCTGACACTAATTGCATCATTAGAAGATATGACCTTGTCCCAATTACCCGTGATCTAGATAGGAGTATCGGTAATTTTAGCGACTACCATACTAGCGATATTATCATTCCAAGATCCACCTTTGTAGGTAGTTAGGTCAATCTTAGCAGGCCCATTGATAGTCAACGTTTCTCCCTCCAAGTAATTTTGCTTATATACATAGGCAATTAAATTTTATGGGACCACTATACTAGACGCAGCGCTTCCCCAAGGTGGTAGATCAAGACCGTTTTTCTTGAGATCAGCAGACATGTATGTTCCTGGTGGGAAGGTGCCTGATCTGTCGATATCAAAGTTTGGAGCCCCAGTTATCATAACTCTTGGGTCTACCTTTTCATCATAGCTATAAACCTCAACATAGCTAACCCAGTCATTAACTGCGAGGGTTGGTGCATTATAAGGCCCAAGAAGCTCAAATTTATCGTACCAATCATAAGCTTCGCAGTTATTGTTTGAGCAAAACAAGACTCTTAAGCCTGATCCAATTTGAATTGAACTGAGTTAATCATTGAAACCTGGTTGGAGAGAATCAAGATTGCCTTTGTATCCCGCGTAAAGCTTGACTTATCTTCCTGAAAATCCTGAATCCCCGAACAAGATACATTCTCCATGTGGAGCCCACTCATTAAAGGTTGCAAGATTAACTTTTTTAACATTTTACTCTTGAGAGCCTAGTAGGTTAAGGGCAAGAAGTGTTCCAGAAATGCCGAGGAGAGTACCAGTTGCAACTTTGAACAAGGTACTTCTACTCTTAGGTATTATTTCTGATTGAGCTCTGAGGAAAGGTTGTGCTGACATTTGAATTTTATAATTAATTGTAAAACAGGAATTGTTAACAAAGTAATTAAGATACTATCCTATTGATTCTAATTATAAAAATATTCTCCTCATTCTAATTATAAAAATATTCACCTCTTAGTAATTTTATTTCTAGCTATCTCAATTATGCTATTATCTCTAATGATGGGGTTTTGGGGTTTTGGGG